CAAAACAAACATAATACATAAATAGTATAGCTGTGGCTGTATAGATAGATATAATGGACTGTAGGACACACATCAAAATCAGGGGAGTGCCATGGTGCGGTATGGGAGAACAAGAAATCTAACTGCAGTTAAAAGTTAAAAAGCCTTTAGCTATGAAAGGAGTTAAAGGAAACTGGCATATGACCTATTTACTTTTTTTTTAGTACAGGCATGCTGTAGATGAAAAAGAAAAAGGTGGGTGAATCTCCTTATCAACTGCACCCTGTGTAAACTGATGAATGATATTTTCTAGGAGGAAAAGAATTTAACCGTCGTTTCTAGAAAAGCAGGAAACTGTGAAAAAAAAAAGAATAATGAAAAAAAGTTACTATCAAATTTATGTAACAGAATATTCCTGGCCAAAAGATTACTTATAATAAATAAATTTATAAATTTGCAATTTAGGAAGCATGGTTCCATAGCTAAGCAACTCTGGAATATAAAATGAAGTCTATTAGATGACCAGAGACCCTCCTTAGAGACTTTATCTATAATTGTGGGTCAAAGGGTGCCTTAGTTTGCTAAGGCTGCCATAATGAAATAGCACAACTGGGTGGCGTAAGCAATAGAAATGTACTTTCTCAAAATGCTGGAGGCTTTATGTGTAATACAATGATACTGGCAGGTCTGGTTTCCTCTCAAGCCTCTTTCCTTGGCTTGCAGAGAGCAAATGTCTTCATTTAGTGCTGCTGTATCTTCATATGTTTGCCATATGTTTCCTTTATTTTAATTTCTTCCTCTAATAAAGATACTAGTCAGTGGATTAAGGTCCACCCGTCTGACTTCATTTTCCCTGAATTATCTCTTTAATGGCCTTATCTCCAAAACAGTCACATTCAAGTCCTAACTGAGGGTTAGGACATATGATATTTTGATCTATCACTTTATACATTTATCATTTCTTTGCTTTGGGAACATTTATAGTCTCCTGTAGCTATTTTGAAATACACAGTATATTATTAATTATAGTCCCTCTACTGTCCTGTGGAACACTAGAACTTATGCCTTCTATTTAACTATGTGCTTATCCACATTAAGTAGACTCTCTTCCTTACACCCCCTCCACACCCTCCTTTGGTAACTTATCATTCTGCTCTTTACCTCCCTGGGCTTTAACTTACCTGGGCTTTTCTTTGTTGGGATATTTCTTGTTACTGATTCAATCTCATTACTTGTTACTGGTCTGTTTAAGTTTCCTGTTTCTTCCTGGTTCAATCCGAGAAGACATATACAAGCTATCTATCTATCTGGGAATTTATTCATTCCCCCTAGGTTTTCTAGTTTGTTAGCATATAGTTGTTCTTCTTTATATTTTTTATGGTATCAGTTGTAATATCTCATTTTTTATTTTTGATTTTATTTGAATCTTTTTTTTTCTTGGTTGGTCTAGCTAGTGGCTTATCAATTTTACAAACATATTTTGTATGTTTTTTTTTTTGAGACAGAGTCTCACTTTGTAGCCCTCCGTAGAGTACTATGGCATCATAGCTCACAGCAACCTCAAACTCCTGGGCTTAAGTGATCTCTTGTCTCAGCCTCCCA